AAAACGTTATTACCTCTGTGGTGGTAAAACGTTATTACCTCTGTGGTAGTAAAACGTTATTACATCTGTGGTGGTAAAACGTTATTACCTCTGTGGTGGTAAAACGTTACTACCTCTGTGGTGGTAAAACGTTACTACCTCTGTGGTGGTAAAACGTTACTACCTCTGTGGTGGTAAAACGTTACTAACACAGACGGATACAGAAGTAAAAACACAGACGTTGAAGTCGGTACAAGTGACAAAGAGATGCATTCAAAACATCAACGCTTTTTATTCAACCCTTTCATCAGTTTGATTTCCTTATGAAGAAATCTTTTTGTGTTAAAGCAGAAACAGAATAAAGAAACTGCAGATGTGACAATAAATCAGAATGATTAGTTTGTTCTGTTTAGTTTTCATGAGTCAAACAGCTGCTTTGTGGAGACAAACTGTCTTCTTTTAAGAGGAGTGATCCAGTGTGATGTAAACAGGCTGAGAGCAGGAATGTGATGCGACTCTGTAATTACAGCAGGAAATGAGACAGAAGCTTCAATCACAAACTTTCTCCCATCATTTCCACAAAAGTCTGGAAATATTTCACTTTTTATTACTATACTTAACGTTATGAAACTGCAGCTCGTTATGAAACTGTAGCTCGATAACACTTCTGATTGGCTGTCAGGGTTCAATGTTTCTAGACGTCACTTCAGATAAAGCTTCAGTGATGAAAGAGAATAATAATAATATTAGAATAGACTTGACTGACGCTCACGACCACAGGTTTAAACATTGTAAATGGGTTCATTTAACTCTTGTGTCTGTGTGTGAGAGGTTTGAGGAACTAAAAGCAGTGAAGAAATATAGTATTTAGTTTCAAACTTAAAGTATCATTTGTATATCAAAAGGTAAAAGATAAAAGCAGCTGAAATGTAGTCTTTGCTGTCAGTCGAAGGGTTAAATGAAGTGTAAACGCTGAAAGCAGCTGAACTGTAACAGTCGAAGTAATAAAAGTGAAGCGATGGTTCTTCATTGAACATGAAACAATTCACTGTCAGTAGATGGAAATAGAAATTATTCTATTAGTCATTTAGCAGACGGTTTTATCCAAAGCGACTTACAATTCAGAATCTATCACATTTCTACACCGTAGGCACAGCTACGGGAGCAATTTTGGGGTTAAGTGTCTTGCTCAAGGACACATCGACATGCGACTAGCGTAGTCGGAGTTCGAACCGCTGACCCTCTGATTGAAAGACGGCCCTGCTATCCACTTAGCCACAATCGCCCCTAAAAGTGAACGATGTCTGTAAACCCGCCTCCTTCTCTCTACAGGTTCTCGCTGTGACGAATGCTCACCTGGTTACCATGGAAACCCTGGGGATGTGGGGGGGCAGTGTCAGCCCTGTCAGTGCAACAGCAACATCGACATGTTGGACCCGGAGTCCTGCGACGCCCGAACCGGCGAGTGTCTGCATTGCCTTTACCACAGCGAGGGCAACGCCTGCCAGAGCTGCAAGCACGGCTACTACGGCAACGCCCTGCTGCAGGACTGTAGGAGTGAGTTCACCAGGTTTACTCCTTGAAATGCTCTCGATTGATCCAAATGTGGATCAAGTCTTAATGAAGTCTGGTCCTGAATCCAGATTGAACTCTTCTCGTCCACAGAGTGCGTTTGTAACCAGCTGGGCAGCGACTCCTCCAGCTGTCCGTCACCCGGCGATTGTCACTGCGACCTCAGCAGCGGTCAGTGTCGCTGCCTCCCCGACGTCATCGGGCAACATTGCGACCGCTGTGCGCCCGACACCTGGAACATGGTGAGCGGCCGCGGCTGTCAGGCCTGCGCCTGCGACTCTAAACACTCGTACGGGACGTCCTGCAACGAGGTGAGGAGGTTACGATGTGAACGTTTAGTCTTGGTTCGTCCAGCAGCTCGTGGTCACACTTTGTTTGGTCCACAGATCAGCGGTCAGTGTTCCTGTCAGCCCGGCTTCGGAGGAGGAACATGCAGCGAGTGTAGAGAGCTGTTCTGGGGACACCCAGAGGTCCAGTGTCGCGGTACGTTCACCACATTACCACGTTATCCATAATATACATTTTATTGTGAATGTGAAGGACAAAAGTTTAAAATTGATGAACAGTTGTTCAGCCGCTGCCCCAATGCATCGTGGGAACATTCCTGACCCAAGCATCCTCTGCTGCAGTCTGCTGTGACTTATATTATTAAGTCCAGATGTTCCCCGAGGCCCGACGGTCCCGTCGCCATGGAGACAAGACCAGAGATCTGTCTGATCCTCCAAATATTCCTGAAATCCACAAAGAGACTTTGTTAGTGTGAAGCAGAGCTGAAGGTCAGAAACTGGACCTGCTGAGAGGGGGGGTACACGTCTAACACCACAGCCCGTCTCTGTTTGTCTGACAGTCTGTCTGTTGATGGTTTGTTTCATGTTCAGAGTTAAATCTCAGTCTGAATCAGTTTTGTTGTTTCTGCAGCTTGAAGGAGTTTCAACTGTGTTAAATACAAACCAGATGTTGCACACACACCCTCACAGGAAGTTGGAAAGTTTGTGTGTCTGTGTTTAATTAAACCACCATATATGTGTCTCTTTATGAAACAGACTTCTGAAGACACACTGTAAACTGTGAACATACCTTCAGTTAAGTGTGGCTAAGTGGAGAGCAGGGCCGTCCTTCAATCAGAGGATCGGTGGTTCGATCCCCGGCTCCGCTAGTCGCATCTCGATGTGTCCTTGAGCAAGACACTTAACCCCAAATTGCTCCCGTAGCTGAGCCTACAGTGTGACTGTAATGTAATGTTCAGTCTCAGTTCTCTTTGGTAGTGAGTCTGTATGCGAGTCCTCATGGTTAGATTTGGTTATCGTTCACGGGTTTGGTTACCTAGTAACTCTGACTAGTGACTGCCATTATTATCTGCAAATGTTGTTCACAGCTGGTTGAACCATGATAAACTGTGATGTGTACTCCAGGACTCTGTGACACCACTGGTGGGTGTGGTTTCAGGTGTGAACTTCTAACCCTGAATGTGTTTCTGTCTCAGCATGCGACTGTGATCCTCGCGGTATATCGGAGCAGCAGTGTAACAAAGGCAGCGGTCACTGTGTCTGTGTGGACGGGGTTTCCGGCCCACGCTGCGACGTCTGCAGCCGTGGCTTCTCTGGAACCTTCCCCGACTGCCGCCGCTGCCACCAGTGTTTCGCCGACTGGGACAACGTCATCGGTCAGTTGACCAATCAGACGCACCGCCTCCTCAACAAGGTCAACGCCGTGAAAGCCAGCGGAGTCAACGGAGCGTACAAGAAGTCCATCGACAGCATGGAGAGGAGCGTCACCGACATCTGGGTCATCCTTAACCAGAATCCAGCCTCTCAACCACTGACTGAGACCCAAGAGCTGCTGCAACAGGCCAGGTGAGATTATATTTAATCTGGATAGTAGACATACAGCATCTGGCCAGGTAAGATTATATTTAATCTGGAGTTATATTGTGCTGCAATAGGCCAGGTTAGTTGCTGCCACAATGCTACTGCCGAACCAGCAACGGGGCTGCTGCTGGAATTCTGTTAGCCCCCTGAGCGTTAAGGAGAGGATTGACAAGAAACCGAAGATGGCAGAGGTCAGAGGAGAATAGATACAAACTCAAAAAAGGTAAATTGACAGCCAGGGAGCAAGTAGATCTTGTGCTGGGCCCTGAGTCCTTTGTGGATTCGGACATGTTCGTGGATCATCGCTGCTCTGTCTTCGGCATGGTGCAGGACAGCGTTGTGACAGGCCGAGGCAGGATCAATTGCAAGCTCGTTTATGTTTTTACTCAGGACATCAGTGTTCGGTGGCAATCTGTCTGGAGCTCATGTACAGAAGATTTGTAAGATTGTGGACCAGGCCATGACAGTTGAAGCCTCGGTCATCGGGTTGAAGGACTCTGGAGGAGCTCGGATCCAGGAGGGAGTGGAGTCTCTGGCTGGATATGCAGATATATTCCTGAGGAATGGGATGGCTTCAGGAGTCGTACCTCAGATCTCCCTCGCCATGGGTCCCTGTGCAGGAGGAGCCGTCTACTCCTTTTACCTTCATGGTTAGATCATGCCCAACTACGCCAGAAACATTGTGGTTGGCTTTGCCTGCATGAACGGATGCACTGTAGGCATTGTGGGTGACCAGGCCAAAGGGACTTCTGGTTGTTTGGACATCAACTCTTCAGTGAAGGGAGCCCGCTTTGTACGCTTCTGTGATGCTTTCAATATTCCCATCACCACCTTTGTGGATGTGCCGGGCTTCCTGCCTGCTACCGCTCAGGAGTATGGATGCATCATCAGACATGGAGCCAAGCTGCTGTTTGCCTTTGCAGAGGCCACTCTCCCGAATATAACCATCACCAGAAAGGCTTGCGGAGGAGCCCTATGACGTGATGAGCTCCAAACACTTGAGAGGAGATGTGAACTACGCCTGACCCACTGCTGAGTTCGCGGTCATTGGTGTCAAGGGTGCTGTTCAGATTATTTTTAGAGGAAAGGAGAACCAGGCAGAGGCTGAATACATCGATAAGTTTGCCAATCCTTTCCCAGCTGCTCTGAGGTTTTGTGAATGACATAATCGAGCCGTCGACCACTCTTAAGAGGATCTGCAGAGATCTGGAGGTGCCGGCCAGTAACAAGCAGCTAAATCCCTGAAAGAAACACGTCAACATTCCTCTGTGAAACTTCCAAACATCAACATTGTCTAAAGGCACTCGCTGTGGTTGTTTTTAATGATACTGACTTCGCATTCAAATGAACTGCAGCGTGACCTCCGAATGACAACTCGAGTTGGTTTGTCTCAGCATGAACGACTCAAACTGCCCAAACTTTCCCTTCCAGTTTACCGATTGCGTTTTGAACTATAAACTTTATTAAAGCATCATCCTCAAGATTTGAGGGAATTTATAGTGTTCTGTAAACCAAATCAGCACATCTATCTGTACAGGGGCGACTGTGGCTCAGTGGTAGAGCAGGGTCGGCGGTTCGATCCCCTCTAGTCTGTCGATTATATTTAGAGTTTAAACTAGCTGCAACAGGCCTAATGGGATTGTATTTAATCCAGAGCTTTAAATGAGCTGCAACAGGCCAGGTGAGATTATAGTTAATCTAGAGTTCAAACTAGCTGCAACATGCCTAATGGGATTGTTGGGAATAACATAGCCTCAAAAAGGGGGCACCAATATGTTGGGAACGTAAAGGAGCGTGTTTGGGTTATCGGCATCTAAGAAACTAAATTCTTGACATCAATAGAATTATTAATGTCAGTAACAATTATTAATAATAACGGGGCACCACCCTGCGAACGGGGACCAATAACCAAACGATAAAACTAAGTCTCATAATTAGTGTTCACTGACAATGTCAATAGTCTGAGTACTATTACACATTCAGAGTGAAAGTGAAGGTTTAAATTCGAGCACAGACCACATATACAGCTATTATCACAATACACATGCACAAAGTAATCACAGACAGCTGCTCTTTAAAATATAACAGTTTATTACGTTCTAATGCTCATGATCTAGTCAACTAATATCTAAACTAACAACTATACATTCATGAGCACGCTATCTAAAATCAACAGACGATCGAAAAGAGGGGTGTGTGTGTGTGTGTGTGTGGCGGAGCGAGGGAACAGCTCAGCGACGTATGACGTAGTTGGGACGTAGTGACGTCTCTCATGCGTGAGACTCAAAAATGGCGGATAGCCAACAGGAGACCTGGCGTCTATACGTGCCGGTAGCCGTTTAGCACGTAGCTAGATTAGCGCAAAGCTATGTGTGTGTGTGTGTGTGTGTGTGTGTGTGTGTGTGTGTGTGGATTAGTAAAAGATAGGGAAAGGAACAAAATGAAAGTTTAAAGGAGCTGCAACAGGCCTAATGGGATTATATTTAATCTAGAGTTTAAAGGAGCTGCAACAGGCCTAATGGGATTATATTTAATCTAGAGTTTAAAGGAGCTGCAACATGCCTAATGGGATTATATTTAATCTAGAGTTTAAACCCGCTGCAACAGGCCTAATGGGATTATATTTAATCTGGAGATTAAAGCAGGTCAGAATAATGTAAACTGTGACCTCTGACCTGTGTGATTCCCTCAGTGACCTGATGGGGGCCCTGAGCCAGATGTTGAACCACACTGAACGGACCCTGGTGCAGGTGGAGGGCGAGGACTCGGCTGCAGAACCTAAACTGAACTCTGTGATGTCGGATGCACAGAAACTGGAGCGAATGGTTCAAGAGCTGTTGGATCAGATTGAGTTCATGAAGAACTCTGACATCAGAGGTGAGAGTGGTTAAAGGTCAACGGGCAGTTTTTTTTTTGTGGGGGGGGGGGGGGGGGGGGGTCATGTGATCAGGTTTTAATAAATCTCTTCAGTTCTTCTGGCCTGGAAAAATACTGGAACCTGTTAATGTCAAATGTATATCTTAAACTGGACCAAACAACTACTCAAGGGCCACTTACTTACTAATTCTGGAGTTTTCAATCGCATCTTCATCAGCAGCTTCCTGCTGTGGGTCCAGAATAAACTGTTATGTCACATCACCTGTGAGGTCACCTGTGGACTCACCTGTTCTCTGATCTGATTGGTACTTCCTGTCACCAGGGGCGACGGACAGCGTCTCTAAATACTTCCAACAGTCTCTGGCGGCTGAAGTTCGAGCGAACGCGTCCACCATCGATGCCGGCAGCCTTGTACAAACCTCCAGTGCTCTACGGCAACTCACAGAGGACAAACTGAACCAAACCAGAGAGGAGTTCCTGAGGAGACACACTGAGCATGCTCAGAGACTGGACGACCTGGCAGGAGAGCTGCAGACTCTGGACCTATCAGAGATCAGCCACAAGGTGATCATTTCATTTCATTATTGTTTGTTTTTATTTTCAATCAGGACTTTTGTTTTCAGACTTTCTTTGACCGTTTAACTTTGTGTTTCTTTGTTCTGACCTTCAGTCTTTATTAGATGAATCTGCATGTCTCAATGAAAGATTTCCTCTGATTTAGAGAGCTGCTCCTGAAGGCATCACGTCCCCTCTCCTCTCTTTCTTTAAAGATCTGAAGATGATTTATTCTCATTTATTTATGACACTTTAAACCTTTTTAAAGTGTCATTGCCTTTTCACAACTGGACAAACATAAAAACCACAGAAAAGATTTCATTTGTAGTTTGAAAGAGATTAACAAACTTAAATATGCATAACTTGTGTTTCCACAGCAACCATTAACACAGATGGAGTGCATTATTTTGGATTTATACTCATACAATATATCATACTTGTATCAGAGGAGTATTAAAGATGTTTATTTTATTATAATTGGATTTGACTTCATTTTGTGGTCGGTCCTGGTTCTCACAGACATGCGGCAGTCCACTATCAGGTCAGGACTCGTGCGGGTCCTCTCCCTGTGGAGGTCTGGGCTGTGTGGACTCTGAGGGTCGGACCAGGTGTGGAGGTGAAGGATGTGACGGCGTGAAGACGGCGGCCAGAAACATGTGGAAGAAGACCCGAGAATCTGAGCAGGAAATCATCAGCGCCATGGAGGAAGTGGACAAACTCTCCAAGATGGTGAGTCTGATGCTCCCTGGTCTGTGCTGGACCTGACGGGTCCTGGTCTGTGCTGGACCTGACGGGCCCTGGTCTGAGCTGGTTCTGACGGGTCCTGATCTGTACCGGATGTTCTTACCTGTGTTTTGTCTGCAGGTGTCAGAGGCCAAAGAGAGAGCGGACGAGGCGAGGCTGAGCGCTCAGGACGTCCTGATGAAGACCAACAGAACCAAACAGAAAATCCAGCAGAGCAACGAGGATCTGAGAGTCCTCATCAGACAGATCAGAGACTTCCTCACACGTATGTCGCTCACTTCCTGTTCAGAGTCATGTGACTTTTCATGATGTTTCTGATTCTGGATCCAACTGGCGGTCTTTGTGGTTTAAGAGGACGCCGCCGACCTGGAGAGCATCGAGCTGGTGGCCGACGAGGTTCTGGCCGTGCAGATGCCGACCACACCGGCTCAGCTGCAGAATCTGACCGAGGACATCCGGCAGAAGGTGGGAGAGCTGGGACACGTGGAGAGAATCCTGCAGCAGAGCGCGGCCGACATCCACAGAGCCGAGGACCTGCTGGACCAGGCCCGCCTCGCCAGGTGGGTCCTACCAGGTCATCCAGGACCCTTTACAGTTTAAAAAGGTCTCATCTCTCACTGCCTGATGATGGTGGTTGTGATGATGATGATGATGATGATGAAACTTCCTGTGCTCGTTAGTGAGGAAGCAGCAGATGTGAAGGACTCTGCAGAGAAGGTACAGCGAGCTCTGGAAGAAGCTCAGAGAGCTCAGACCGCTGCCAGCAACGCGATCCAGCAAACCGCCGCCCACATCCAGACCACCAATCAGCTGCTGTCCTCCGTTAGTACTGACCAACGTTTACTTCACTGACATCCTGTCACAATGTGTACTAAACGTTTACTTCACTGACATCCTGTCACAATGTGTACTAGACGTTTACTTCACTGACATCCTGTCACAATGTGTACTAAACGTTTACTTCACTGACATCCTGTCACTTTCGTTTGCTACACTCACGTTAGAAACATGAAGGTAAC